GATTTAGGGCATGTAAAAGATCCTCATGTCTCTAGGAGACCTCTGAGCAAAATTTGGCAACAAGTTTCCCGCCCAAGTAGTTTCCAATGCCTCTGGTAGATGGGGGAAATATCAGGTACCGAGGACGGACCTTGTTGGCTGAATGGGGCCGATAGCACGCACCAGTATGGCGACAGTAGAAATTAAAGGGAGACGCACAATGGACCAATAACTGTTCTAAGTGCATGAGGAAACCCACCCCCTCTAATAATAATAATAATAATAATAATAATAGATACATACATACCTTCCTTACCTCAGAGCAAATGGACTCTCCCTTCCCACATTACACGCATGTGCAGTAACGAGAAGAACAGAGCCTCGTGTTAGCTAGTGATCCAATGTATGTTGTCACAATGTTCTTGAAACAGGAACGGAGCTGGATAAAGACTGAATGTGCCAGAGGGATGCCAAAATGTGGCAGACACGCATCTGCCAGGTCGTCCTAGTCAGTGAAGAAGCGTATGCTCTTTCTGCATTTCAGGAGAGTGATAGATGGCATACAATTCATGAGCTGGCCCGAGAGACAGAATTAGCGCATACAACTGTGCTTCACATTCTGAAGGAATGCCTGGGCATGAGAAAAAATTCATCACGATGGGTTCTGTATGATTTGATGGAATGCAGAATTGGCAAACTGTGGCTGATCTGTTCGATCGATGGGTCTGGGAAGTGCTGTACCATCCACCATATTCCCCAGACTTAAGCCCTTATGATTTCAACTTGATTCCTAAGATGAAGGAACCACTTCGTGGCATTCGCTTCAGAACTGTTCCAGAGATTCTTCAGGCAGTAGACCACTCCATTCGAACTATCAACACAACAGGCACTGCTAAAGGTATCCTACGACTTCCACATCACTGGCAACGGGTTGTACACAATTCTGGTGCCTACATTGCTGGACAGTAAAACTTTGAAAGATGCATCTATTTTGTATCAGTTGTAAATAAATAGTTGCCACTATTAAAGTTCCAGCTCTCATATATGCATGCACATGCACACAATACATTATCAAAAACTTCTGTACACTACCTGATGGGTACCTGCTTCGAGAATCAAAACTTGAGGAATGTTCTTTGTACCAACTATAGCGCCCTCTTGAAGGACCTGAAAATCCACCTCGTCCACGGCTGCTGCTCTCGCTACCCCAGCTGCCACCATCTGATCCTCCTCTCCCACGGAATGAACTTCCCCTCCCACTAAAACCTCGGCCACGAGACATCACTGCAATTCTGCAATCATGTAGATAGAACTTGAAGTGAAAAACTGGTTTCTAACAGAACATGAAATCACTACGAGACCATCTTGTTAGACCGTTAGATTATGGCCACCTGCTGGGATGTAACAATGTTTGGTAGCATGAAGGTGTCAATAAAAGGTGATTGAATTAACCTGGATCAAGCTACCAGCAAATTCAAATCTGTAGGAGGAATCTGCATAGATTCATACAACTATATCAAAGGAACCAGCTGCCTCTATCTTCAGGGTACAGCAGCATCTCTTCTACCCTGAACACGGAGGTGGAAAGTTCTTCCAAAATGCTGGTGCTTATTCTTCTGCAGACCTAGTGCTGATGACACTGAGATCTCAGTTCTCATGAAAAGGCCAATTAATTACCTGCAAACCATATTATACAGAAACATATAAACTTTTCTCAAACATTTTTAAGCATGCTGCTCTTAATCAGAGGTGTGGTTATATTTTTGTCTACCATATGTAAGGGGTGGGCCATAAAAACCGGCCCACGCACTGCAACCTTCAATGATCTATTGTGCTTTTCGTCGACTCTAACTTTCCTTCTTATTGATCACATTCAAACCCATTAGAATTATCTTGAATTTCTTGTGCCTAGACTGGGAGATGGGCATACACAAGGTTCCTAGTAAAAGCAACAAAACATCGATATTTTTAGTCAAGCAAATTGCCCAGTGTCCCCCCCCCCAATTTGGATACTAGAGATATCTGTTAATTACTATTTCAACAAAAATCTGATCACAAAAAGCACGACTTGTTTCATACACAACAGTAAGAATGAAACAAAGTCTTACTAACTTTCGAAAACTCTGGGAAATGGGATGAACCCCTTTCACTCCTGTTTCTTCAAAACCGGAAGGAAAATTAATAAACAGCAATTTAAATACGTAACATTGAATTACTTCATTTACGATCCACTGCGAACAAAACACCATGCTCGGGACGGTTCGCGCCTGAGCAGTTGAAACACGCTTCGAAATTCGAATTTCTGCAAGAAAACATCCACGTGATCACCATTATTCGCGGTTTTTGTTGGTTCCTTCATGCAAATGCCACCATATTAGGTTAAATTATGCCTCCATTTCTTCCAACTACTTCCTTTCAACAAATCATTCCGTCACCTAACACTGTATAATCTTGAGTTAATTCAAGGGGGTGTTAAACCAATAATTAAACCAAGTTACGTACTAAGAACATAAATATAATTTTTTTAAAAAGTGACTTAGTTACGCAGTGCTGGAAGTATTACTGACCTTAAAATCTTAACAATGAACATTCGCTAACAGTATTACAAACCTTAACTTTAGTGAATTTAAAATCTGTATTTCCAAAAACCGGTACCGCGTTACGTTCACGAGCTGTATTAACAAATCTTCAAAATGGCGACCGACGAATACGACCTACAGTTACTTGGTGGCATGGCGTCTGTAGGCTTAAGAAAATACGTATACATAAAAATTTAAAAATACTTAAAATATATAACGAACTCGTAAATGTAAAAGGAGCAGTCTATTACATGTTCCTACAAAAACGTACCAGCATCAGACATATTGATACCACTCTAATTCACAATAGTCTAATATATATGTACAATTACACATTCGCCGAACAAACATTGATATTACTCACTTGTGTCTACTTATTGTACTTGCATAAACACGTAGGGGGTGCTTAACTTGTCACAAAACTCTTATCGACAATTTATATACGACGAACTACACATACGCCAAGCCTTGATCTTCACCACCAATCACGGACAATATCTACGCGATACAGGTTGCAAAGTAAAATTACCAATTAGCGAGAATAGCTGTAGGTACACCGTGGTCTCTTGCGTCCATAGATTACAAACTTTCCGTGGTCAGAGAGTAGCTCGCACAGTTCGCCAGTGATATCAATATGTACTTGCTGGATCTCACGGCGCCGCGTATGAGGCGTTCTGTCTATGGGCATAAAATACCGTGTAGTCTGTTAAGTCAACCGACCAACTTTACTTGCTATTCGCTTTATGTTGGTTTCTTGCTTGGCTTATTTTTCGAAGATGATCATCCGAAATGCCTGTTGAATTTCAACGGACTAAAGGCGTAATATGCTAGAAGATAAAAAAAAAATTCTCCTTGTATTGCTTCCATTTTACGTGTACAATATACCGGTCGACGGACAAGGAATCGCTAATCGTTCTTATCTTCTGACAATCGTCGCTTTTATCTTGCCTGTTTTCCCTTCTCTTTCTCAGGGAATCCCCTTAGATCTCTTTCCTCTACTACCCCAGATTACAACCTGATCACGAGGTGAAACTTCATGCTACATGGGAAACAAATTTATTCAAGTCAGACTATATAGTCTCGATAGTGACGGTGTCTTAAAAATAACCAATTCACGTAGGATCATCTTACTATAATATACTGGGGCCATTTCAGAGTACTGATATTTGAAATAGAGATGTCTACAAACGATGGCAAATATTTGACCAACTGCGATATCGGCATTCAACAATTAAGCGTTTACGCCTGTATTACAAGCAAAATATTCCCGAGACGAGTGTAGGGATTTGCCCACAAATCTCAAGGCGAAATCAATGCCGATATGGTCATAAATATCACAAGAAGTGGTGTCCTGATATCAGGAGGCAAAGGGTGTCGAGGGCATAAACAAGTAATTGGAAGAAATATCATTTTGAGCAACTGCTCTTTTCGTCAGTAGCCAGAAGATTTCACCGAATGGTGAATTAATGGTGTGTATTCTATAGAATATTCTGTTAGTAGCAAATGGAATTCGACTACTCATTCAGCGAACTGTCTTTCTCCACGGTATCAACATATTATACAACTGAAGCCGAAATTTGAAATTTAAACATACAACTCAACAGACTAAAAATCTGGTTGTAGGACGTGCTCCGCTGCAGATGTAATACTGCCATTTTCGTTTGGGCTCCCTGAGGCCAAGGCGCATAATACTGCTGGAAGCTGTTTTAGATAAAACTTTGACACGTACACCCACGTCGGTACTTGGAGAACTGTTCAGGCTCAACATTTCTTAGCAACTACATACCTAGGACATGAAAATGGACTTTGTTTTAGTACAACGTTAAGATAAAACATTATTGTGACAGGGCAAAAATCTATGCTAAAATCATGGATTGCCTATCAGTCTATGTAATCAAATGTGGGGCATGTTAATTAATATTGTAATAGTATATCTCATATGAGAACTTAGATACATCCTTGTCCACCGCCCATTCACGTATTATCAATATAAGCTGTTTTCTACAACCTGAGCTGAATATCATTTCAGTTCGATGATTAATACGCACACATTGAGTCGCTTTCGTTAACGATCAGAAAAGAACAGATTCGCCCCGCTAGCAAACTCAGAGTATATTAATTTATAAGCATGTTTTTGGGTAGGGAGGGACGGATGGTACCACCAGTGGTGGGGATGGAGGGGTATTGATTCTCTTCAGTCAGGCGGCGCTCACCTTTCAGTGTGTCGAAAGGCGTCGTCATGACAGCAGCAGCGTCGCGACGCATCCTGAAGCAGTGACGGTACACCGTAATAATAGTGATTCACGAACAGTGATAAATGAATTAGTCGTTTCTGTTAGTTCATACAAAACTCTGAGCGTGAGGGGCCTAGTTCGGGGCTAAATCCCGAGATTACTGACCGTCGTCATTATCGATCTGGGAGATTTTCGTTGCCATGACGACAACACAGATGCTGGAAGCCTGGCCGCCGTCCAACTAGTCCTATCTGCTTACCTCGCACAGGTTATGTTCACAATGAAGACCGAACTGCGCGTGTGTCGTGCCTGAGGTCTCAGATGATGGAGTTATGCTGTGTAGGGGCCGGGTGTGCGCCCTGGGGGTCCTGCTGACCTTATATCTGGCAGGAGTTTTGCTCATATCAACTGTCACCCTGGATGCTCAGCACAAGGTCAATCTAATGGATTTTGATAAAATTATATTTTTTCTACTCTTTACTAAAATTCATGTGGACTTTTAATAGGAAACGAAGATAACACCCTGTCTCCAGGATAACGTTATAATATGCTTAGAGAATTATGCTGTGAGGTTAACCGGGTTGAGGTGGCTCAGGATAGAATCTAGTGGCAGGCTATGTTTTTAGGAGTCCAGTCCAGTCCAGTAAATTGCTGCTGGTCCTCGCCAGGATAGTCGTTCTTGGTATCGGGCCCCCTCCAGAACCATTACTATATTTTTACCATTTCCAGACTTCTGCATGTTGAAATGGTGTCTCCTCCTCGACGAGAGGTGGAGTCTGACTACTAACTTCTGTGTTTTCTATCAGAAAACTTTCTAAATTTCACACACGCAAACAAGCTACAGTTAAGAAGGGGAGAGGGTGTGAATGTAGTCCATATATTCTAAACATTTCCACGGGTAACAAAATTCGAGGCGGTCGAATCTCTGTAGGGATTATGAAAATGTTTTTCTTGCCATGTCGAGAAAGTTATTGACCCCAGGGGCGAACTTTGGCGTACAGAACTGGAACGTATGAAGATAAAATATGGTGCAGACTGGGGGATGGGGCGTTGATCGACGACCCAGAACAGTTGTCCTCCTGGTTTGGACATCCCTGATCCATGAATATCCGAAAACAAAGCACATTTAAGCTTACAGTTCTTTTTTTCAGCATCCTGTTGTACTGTGCAGATCTGACTTTTGGAGCTTTTTGTGTCGTGAACGACTTTGCACACTGACGGCACAAAAAGCTTCAAAAGTCAGGTAATTAAGTTTATGAGCTATAAATGATGTATCTATTGTTCTGTGTAACAAATTTGAAAGCATAATGACAGTACTGTAGTATTCTAAAACCATATCGATTCGTACGTCTGTGGTTCTCAGCAAGATTCGTGACCTGCAGATATCTAAGTTTACAAACCAGCTGGAAACGACTCCTTTAGTGTCATCATAGTACAATTACATATTCCACAGCACACTTCATTATGAAAAGTAGACGTTATAAGCTTAAGGGTCAAATTAAAACCACAAATTTAGGTACTAACTTCTACGGAGCAGAGTCATTTTGGTGAAGCTATTAGCTGCTCAAGTAGTCAAGAATTTCACCGCCTTTCAGGGGACCGTGCTCCCACGAAGCTGCTACGAATCCCGGCCTCGTGCCACATGAATTCCCGGAGGTTTAGCTCCAATCTGAGCTCCGCAGAATGCATCTTACTTGCACTGCAATAGTCAATCGAGATATCAGCTTGATAATTTTCGTAGTTTTCTATGATCCCTGCTGGAAATTTCAATACACAGACAACAACCACTTCGCTCGGTATGAGGTTCTCACAACGGTGACTATGTGGAGCGTCCTGCTACGCGTAAACAGCCACTTCCTTCCACAAATTGGATGGGCAGTCTAACGATGCACACTACTGGAAACAGTCTGCACATTCGTGTCCCTCTTGCCAATGAGGATGACGTAGCGGTACCGTCCTATAGGCGATGCGAGAAGTTCCCGGTTCGAATCTCAGTCGAGTTACCGGATATACTGACTGTGGTTTCTCAGTTTTCTCAAGCGAACGATGGGAGTACTTTGTAGTAGGTGACGATCGCCTTCTTCTAAATTCTTATCTCACCATTCATGATTATCTTTTCGTCTCACTGGTTGTTATGTAACTTAAGCAGTTAAGAAAGCCTAAGGTCTGAAAATAATTAATTTCGATTATAATCGAATCCGGTACCAGTTTTTCTATGCCGCCATATGTAAGTAGAGACCACATCCCTCAATTACGAGATGCTATTGTCCGTCTGAAATGGACTCAGGAAATTTCTGTGCTCAGAAGCGAAGACTCGAACGCGACTGTAGAGCCAATGAAGCGATATCTTTTAGATATTACAACCAGGATCCTTTACGGGAACATGCGTATTGGATTCCCTGCCAGCCTGAATATTATGACTGCCGCGTTTCATGATAATCTTCAGTTCCTATATGGCCTCGATATGCGCAAAAAGATCCCAATTGTGGGATTTGAAGTTCCCACACCGGTGGTTATGAAGAGGTCTATTTTCTGGGATATAACCGTCGTGTAGTCCGTTGAAAGTGAACCGAAATTACAGACGAACATGTCTTTTCCTTTCCACTTGCCTGGTTTATTCTTCGACCCTGAAGATGGAGGTGACATATTCCTCCGAAATGTCGGTTGACATTCAACGGACTACACGGCGTTATGAGTCTTCAAGACGTCAGTTTTTCATTAGATATATCACGCCTGTTTCCACTGAGTTCAAAATATGGTATTTTTTGTGTGCTTTCCCAGAAATTTGAGATATATGAAAAGCAGCTTTGCTTGCGGTTGTACAGGCTATGTAGTTATGAATCTTAGCCTCTATATCTCTCGCTCTGAAGGAAGAACAGAAATTGAGATAGCTGAGAACAAATTACTGAGGAGAATATTTGGCCAATAGACAGGACGTAACTGGAGGTTAGAGAATATTATGCCAATAAAAGTAAGGAAGAGATTCAAAATGTTCACGTTTCTCTCACTAATGACAGAGTTATTGAATCATATATGATGAGATGGGCGTGGCATGGAACTTAGTGGAGTAGTAAGAAATTGTGATTGCAGAACTTCTTGGAAGTTTGGGAGACTCGAGAGTAGGCGAGAACATATTTAAAATGGATCTCGAGAGAGACGTGGAACGGTAATATGTACTGGCTTCAACAGAGAAGCAGGTTCAATGCCGTGATTTTGTAACAGTCTTTATAATTCTTTGGGTTATTAACAACATGGAATTTAACTATCTTTACGCATTCTCGATATTCTGTAACAATAATCTTGAGTTAACGAATCCATCATTCATTCGCCACCTGAGGCAACAGAAACTTGCATGCATTGTGTCATGATCTATTATTAGTGAACTTGAGTTTACAGGGTTCCCAAGGAGCCGGGGGCCGGTCTCGGGGAATAGCTGTGTTGGGGGGCGGCATCAGACCCCCGCCGAGACGCAACCGGTTGCAATGGTGCCAGGCGTTACGATTCCTAGAAGAGCCAGGACCTGTAGTGGCCCTGGCTTCCTTCCCCGGCAGCGGCAACACGTGGGTTCGCTATCTGCTACAGCAGGTCACAGGTAAGGACAATAGAAATATTGCTAAACTTTCCACGGATGTGTGTTCTTTATCAGATTTGTTATGGAATCAAAAAGCATGGTGATTTTTATATAGTGCAGAAGTTCCCAAATGTTATCATTCCAACCCTTTCGAAAATCGGAAAACATGATACTGTATTTAAAATCTGTTTTGTCCCGAAAATTTCTTCCATATGTGACACCTTCCTGACACTCACATTAAACTGGGGCGCACGTCTTACCCTATCAACTTGAACAGACAAAACAAATGCAGTTACTTTAAAATAAACAAATGGAATATCGTGTATGGCTTGAAGTTCTCACAGCGGTGCTTATGAAGAGTTCCTCCGAAACGTCGGTTGACTTTCAACGTATTATATTGCGTTATACCCCAGAAGATAGAACTCTTCAAATGGAACATCGCTGCTTACGTTATTTGATCGAAAATGACTTAATCTTAAGAAGCTTAGTCGCTGAGCTGGTCAAGAAATTCTTTACCAATATAAGCTCTCAAAACGACGTAATCAGTCACGCTTTCCAGCCATTCTTTGAAATATTTCGTGTACTACGATGCATTCGTGAGTCTCACTTTGGCAGTCACTGATCCGCATTCATAAATAATTGGAAATACGTGAATGTACATCACCAACTTTGGTTCCATTTCTAACAGTTTAATTGTTTCTTGCATCCTGTTGTGTATTTAATCAATATTAGCGTTAATTTTACCGACCACACAACACGCTTTTTATTTACTGTCACACTACATGTTTCGACCTCAAGAGGTCATCCTCAGGTGTACGAACACAGTTGCACAATCACACGCAATTACATTCGTTTTTCCACTTATTTGATCCTGTATCCTGTGCGTGGACCTGAACAGGATACAGGATCAAAATAAGTGGGAAAACGAATGTGATTGCGTGTGATTGTGCAACTGTGTTCGTACACCTGAGGATGACCTCTTGAGGTCGAAACATGTAGTGTGACAGTAAATAAAACACGTGTTGTGTGATCGGTAAAATTAACTCTAATATCCATTTCTAACAGCATGAAGAAACATCCAACAACTCTGCATTTTTTTACTAAGAAACTACTCCACAACTTCCAGACCGGCTCTGTGACCCACTCAACTTCCTATCCAGTCGGTACCTGAGGCCCTTTCCCCGAGGCAAAGCGGCAGGACTGTGAAGAAGACACTCACCTCAATCTAGTGCCAAGGTCAATAATGGTGGATCTAAACGTCCACTTCCCCATATATCTTCCTAGTATAGTGCTTAATAGATTTAGCTCAGGGACAATTTTACCCTTTTATCTGCACCGCCTGTGGTCTAGTGGTCAGAGTTCCTGCCTATAGATCCAGAGGTCCGGGTTCGATTCCCAGCGCTACCAGATTTTCTGAGAAATAGTGGGTCTGGAACGGGGTCCACTCCACTTCGTGGGGATAACTGTGGAGCTATTTCAAGGAAATAGCGGCTCCGGTCTAGAAAACCTAAATTAACGGACGCGGGGATTCGTTGCGCTGACCACGCGACACCCTCTATCGGCTAAAGTTGGCACTAACTTCGCCGACAAGCGGCGGTCGCTCGGTCGGTATAGTTTGCTTACGGACTAAAACCACGGAGTTTGTTTTTTATCTTTACTGCAGTAATGTAAAATTGTTTCGTTCGAGCGTGATCTGTAAGGGACCAAACGGCGATGATTATGACATTTCTGAATCCATAACAACAGCGAATGGAATGGACCAGTGAATAAGTATTGATTTCTTGCGGCGGAGATGATGTTTGTTAGTAACGTACATAAAGAAAGTAACTGTACGTACATTTCACCGAGGTATGCCCCATATACAGACGACTGATATCCACGAGAACAGGCACAAGTTTGTGCATAAATATAGAAGATATAACGCAAAATATCATCAGCACCTGTGGATTTTAATACAGAACAAATTTCTATGTCTACCTGATGACGGCGCTCATACACAGTAGGGACATCAAATGATACACTTGCTATTCACACCTACGGTGTTCTCCCTCCATTAGTAATGTGTAACCCTTTTATTGCACTGGGAATAGGGGTGCTGAGTGGGAAATGACATTTAACTACTTGAACGTTACCCTTTTATTTATTCTTGGCTTATGTAACCACTCTAGCAGCCAGGACAGCGCAGTCGGTATAGCGACTGGCTACCGGATGGACGATCAAGGGGTTGGAGTACGAGTCCCGGTAGGGGCAAGATTCTTCACTTAGCCATATCGTCCAGATCGGCTCTAGAGCTCGTCCATCTTCTTATCCAATTGGTACCGGGGAGGGGGTGGGGGTAAAATGACCGGGGAATGAAGCTGACCACAAACCTCAAACTAGTGCCGAGGTCAAGAAAATGTGGATCTACACATCCACTCCCCCATACGTCTTCATGGAATAGTGCTTAATTAGTTAAGTACAGGAGCAACTTTATCTTTTTATGTAACTACTCTTCGAGTTTCAAATATTATATAGCTTCAAATGACAGGTTAATTAGTGAAGTGACTCGGAAAGCAGCAGTTGTGGTGTAACTTCAGACGCTCTTTCTATATCTTGGACGGACTTAAGGAAACAACAAGAAACTCCTCAGTATGTTAGCTTGTCTCGTCTCCTGACCAAGGTTTGAGTAAGGCATCTTCCGAATACAAAGCAAGAGCACTAACCATTCAGCTAAACGTTAATATGATTCACTTACCATAACTGTTACGCAGATCTGAACAAAAACCGTGCCCACTTATCATCACGAAACCCATCATTGGTGTTCAAAACAGTAGAAGCACACCACCAACGAAATGTTAATTCCCGTAACTAAATAAGCATCAATTAGTTTTATGCGAGCGAAGCGAATGAACGACCCAAGAGCGATGTAAGCTTCACTCTCTCTCTCTCTCTCTGATATCACAGAATGCTGGATTTCGCTTGCGGGAAAACTGTTCACCGCATCCGCAAATTCCCTTCCAGCATGAACTGCTGCTCTTCGCTAATAACACAGCGAACTATGAAATTTCGCTTTTAGGCCTATTTGCGAAAGGGATGCGTCCCTTTAATATTGTCCGTTAAATAAAAATTGCCGAAAAGGAAATTAATTTTCAAATAATTTCTTCCTTATATAAGCTTTATTATTATTATTGGACCAGTGGAAGACGCCTGAGAACACGGTAATGAAACATCGAGTTCCATAAAATATTGGGATATTCTTGAGTATCTATGCGACTGGCAGCTTCTCAAGAAGAACTCAGCTCCATCGGGTTAGTTGTTGTTACTATTAAATTATTATTATGAGCATTGCTGGTCTCCATGCATCCACTAAGTAAACTAGAGACTCTCCCACGTTTAACGTCAGTAACTTGTAAAGCCTTAGCCCCTCAACAAGGTGAGTCACAGCTGCAATCAACACCTGCAAATTTCTGGACGTATTCAATAAACATAATTAATTACGTACCATGCCACAAAGACATACAGGGGAGTGGAGGTATAGCCACACAATTCTTGACCTCGGAGCTAGGTGGAGGTTATTCGTCAGCTTCACTCCTAGGTAGCTTTATTCCTGAGGAAATAAACCAATGTACCCACTGGATAGGAGGCTGGGTGGGCCCCAGAGTCTGTCTAGACGCTATAGAAAATAGAAAAGTCTCTTGCTCCTGCCGGGAATTGAACCCAAATCGTTCAAACCGTAGCCTGAGCTATCCTGGCTCATATCTAACTTTGGAATCCTTGTTATTATGTATACAGTATACATGTAGTGACATTTCGGAGGAACACACTTCCATTTTCAGAGTTGACGACTAAGCTAGCAGAATCAGAAGGCAAGCTGGATGGTTTCTTGCTTGGCTTACTTTTCGTTCCTGAAAATGGAAACGACGTTCCCTCGAAACGGGGTGAGACTTTCAATAGACCTTCGGCGTTGTACCCCAGAATACAGAGCTATTTTTTACTTCTGCCCAGAACTGATTATTTAGTCCGTTTTGCCCTGTGTTCCAAAGTTTTCATTCTAGTGTTGTGCAGGTATATACACCGGGTCCGTGTACAAGGACTACGGTCTGCTCAAGAACGGCTTCCCCGCGGAATCAGTGGTGAACGGATCTGTCTCGGTTGTCAAGACACACGAGTGGGGCCCGGCAGCACGCCGGCCCTTCAGTAAAGCAGTGCTCCTTATTCGAGGTCCGGGGCCGGCAATTCAGGCCGAGTTCAACAGACAAAGTGGCGGCCACATTGGCTTCGCATCTCCTGACAGATATCGGCGGAATAAGGGCAAATGTGAGTACTCAGAAACTGCGATGTAATCCATATATTTCTTGTCTTTTCCTATTCCTGCGAATAATTTTTCTGCTTTCTGTCCCTGAAGCTTGGAAAGCAGGTCTCATTTAAGGAAATTATGATAGCGGACGGAAGAAGATACGTTTCTTTTTTCAAAATTCCTCGATATAATGGAGTAAAGGAGATTAAAAGGCAACACCTAACACAGTCAAGACTGCGGAATGAGATGTAGGTAAAGGTAAGTGGTCACTTGACCCCCGACACTCACCGCATACAAGTCTGGTTCGGTGCCACAGCCAGTATGGACGTTACGGCGGGAGATTATAAACCTGTTTACAATTTCAGCAAACATTTGTGGTTCTACGACATGGACCGCATAAAACACGGCGCGTCCAACAATTCTTCTATTCTTCTATGTGTATTCGTTACCGCGGAAACGTTTTCACCAAGCCGCTGTGTAGTAGCAATAAGGGGATACACATACAGACAGACTGATGGAAGGGATTTGTGAAGTACACCGTTGAGATGGGCTCAGGTGCCGTAATATATATACTAAGTTTCATGAAATTGTTTCAGGCGTTCGAAAGCTGATACGGGAGGATACACAGACTCGCAAACAGCATGGTGATATCAAAAGTGTACTTTCATGTTTTCAAATTTAGGAAAGCAGACTAAAAGGATAGGATTGTTACAACCTAAATGTTTTGTTACTGAGAGCAGCTTCCGCGTTTTGATTTCCCCAGGGCCTCCAGAACTGACGGTCCAATGTGTGCAGGCCACTGAGAATGTTGGAGCAAACTGTCCGTCCGCTGATAGTCCCCGCCCGGGTAGTGACGTTGCGCACAGTTTAAATAGACGTTAATTTCTGTAGTTATTAATTCACAATTCTCGCCAACCTTACCACGTCGAGTGGAACATGTGAAGGAAAGTAAGAGTAATAAGTTTTTCTCAGAACTTCCGTTATGCGTGCTGAAAATATTTTCAAAATAAAATGAAGATCTGAATGAAACATAGCACCAGAAGTGGACGGTCAGTCGGCACTAATTGCTTGTCGAATCACAGTACACAGATGATTAAGATGTTATTAGCGAATTAGGTATGACGTCATGAGGTGCGGCGGCTCGTGACTACCGAGAACAATTGAAATTCTCTTGTCTATTAAACAAGCGAGCGAAATCGATAATTGCTTATGACGCATCGTGTCTGATTTGCATGCAGTCTACAATAATTCATTACAGTTCATTTAATGTTGTTGCGTATGTTTTGATGATTGTGAGTTGTGAATGCGAACACTAATATGGAAGAAGCCTTCATTCCCTATTCAGTGTTAATAAACTAACTACCGTGTTCCTTCAGAGACGTTTTATTTGTGCATGTTCCTCAAATAATCTCTTTACTGTGTTCTATGTTTATCGTTAATCTCACTAATTGGATCCTTATTGCCTATTCGGAATATATACTCGTATGTTTCTAGAAACAACCGTAATTTCAAGCCTTTTATACTGCGTCATCATCTTCCATTTTGTTGTTGCCAATCGAGTTTATTCCTGTATATTTTTTATATTATGACACACTGAACAATATTTTTAACCTAAATCATAAGATATGCACTCAGAAATATGGATTCATTTCATGGATCTCTAACGTGAAATAGCGTGGCACTCTGACATGACAGTAGGAGGAGTCGTTATATTTATATATTTACACTTTACTTAGCCAATCACAGTGGCCATGCGGTCTAAGGCATGAACCGTCTTCTCCCGCTCGAACACTGTGATCGTGGGTTCAAATCCCACTCGATGCATGGATGTCTGTATGCATTTATTCTGAGTAGGCAGCGCCTTGCGACGGGCTGATCCCCCGTCCAAAGAGTCTTACCGATTGTATATAGATCAAGCATCTGAAAAATAGGCCAAGGTCCACCAAGGCTCAGACTATAGAAACAGCAGGGTCGAATAATAAAATAATTCGTCCATGATATGTATGCAGTGTCCGTCACCCGCAACCAAACAGGGAACACACAACACGTGACACGATATACACTGAGAGTAAGAGGAACGACTCCCATAGTGGTGGAACTATGCGCGGTGTTAGAATTTGGACAGATAAGATAAATAATATTAACAAAAATTTTTAGTATATAAATATTTATTATAATTGATGAACATTTTTAAATACTTTTTAAATTTTACATTGACATAATGGCAAGCAATGAAATAGATTAACGTAAATGGAGCACCTGATGATGGCACTATAGTGCCGAAACATGTTGTGAAATAACAAGTGAAACTGAGTGCACTAAAACACGGACACTGCATACATATCATGGACGAAAATCAGTGCAACAGGACGCTAAAATACAACATAATAAAATAATTAATTGGAAAAGTATGGCAGGAAGCAGCTGTGACTACAGCGACATCTGCCTGGAGTGACTGAGGAAATATAAGAAAACTTCAGTCAGAAAATGGGTTTCTGGGCCGAGATTTGAACCACATTCCTCTCGAATGCTAGACAGGAAAGCTGCATACTCGACATTACGTTCGGGTATGGGCAAGCTCAACACGTTGTACCTGTTACAGGGACGGGAAGAGAGGAGAGTGAGACCAAAATACTGTAGTTGTTTTGCGCATGGAGTTACAAGTGCCATGCTATTTCACATCACGTGTACTCTGTTACAGACGTGTCTAAATACAAGCTAGGCGTCTGAGACAATAGGAAGTCGCTCTTCTCTTACGGCATGTTATTTCTGATAGCACGAACTACGTACGTTTTACGTAACAAGGGCGCTGACTGCCTGTGTTCAGTGTTTTAAGTTACAGAATGACTAGTAGTAGATGTGTATATTTATAGCATCGAATTAGCGGCCTCCGTAGTCTAGAGGTATCGTTCCCACATCATGACTCGTAGTGCGCGGGTTCAAATACCCGGCGGAGGTCGTCGAATTTTTAAGGGCGGAAAAATTCAGGGAACAAGTCCTCCGGGAGGGACTTTAAGCCGTGGGTCCCGTGTCGTAGCTTTACGGCACGTAAAAGAACCTCATGTCTCCAAAGGAGGTCACTGAGCCAAATTAACGGACGTTTCCCGCCCAACAGCAGTCTCTAATACCTCTGGTAGATGGGGGAAGCATTATAGATACCTCTCAGCTAGTAGAGCCGGTCTCGCTGGCTGGGCGGGACTGATGGTAAGCACCAGTACCGGTAGGATATAGAGACTGGTAGAAATCATAGAGGGAAGCATAATGGACCAATACAGGTCTCAGTGCATGGGGAAACCCACCCTCTCCAATAACTAACTATAGCATCGAATTAAAATTATACGCCAGTTACCCTCTTCAAACCAACATATTTCAAGCTGTCACTTTCCACTTTCCTGAAATGTAAAAGATAAATTTTCCAAACATCTACTGACGTACGGAAAACCAAGTATCTTACAAGAGTGCTACAGCCTTGACATAGCTCAGGCAGTTAGTCGCCGTCTTCCCACCGCGGCGGCCCGGGTTCGAACCCAGGTCAGGTAATGTTGGATTTGTGGTGAACAAAGTGCCACTGAAGCAGGTTTTCTCCGAGTACTTCGATTTCCCCTGCCAATCCTCATTCCATCGACTGCTCCATACTCATAATCTGTCATCTGGGACTGATATATTAGGCCAAATAGTGATCGATCTACCAAGTTGACTCAGTCTCAGCCCACTCCAAGAAACTATACTAGTGCTAACGCTGTTCAGACCTCACAGGTTCGCTCCGTTGGTACTCTTCATGACAGAGTTAGACCTTAGAGAATAACCCTTAACTAAAGGCACTGTGTTAACAATCTCTATAGTTTCATGGAAATTTGCCGGTCAGTACATGTAAAACTGATGATTGAAGGCTCAGGTCATTTAAGAGCAGAAAGCCAAGGACAATACAGGATGTAGGAGGAGGAAAGTATTGGAGGCAGAAGAAAATTTCGTAACGCATAGCATCACATATTGTGTGATAAAATCGAGGGATATGGGAAGGACACGTAGCACGCATGGGAGAGACATGATATGCGTACAAGATTCAGTCGGCAAACCGTAAATTAGAGACTATTTGTACATTTAGTATAGTTGGGTGAACAGTGTTAAAGATAAAGAATGTCTATATGATTGAGATGGTTCAGGATAATCCAGTGGCAGCCTCATACTAAGACGCTTATTAATATTTTGGTTCCATAAAGGACAGGAAATTTCTTGATTAGCTGAGTAACTAGCATCTTCTCAAGAACTCCATTCCATAGCACATAGATTATAAGTCTTCCACATACGTCTAGAACTATGAAAAACTATGGGATTTCTGCATCACAGAGAAGACATACACACAACATACAAGAAGCACAATGCAAACCAAGATCATCATCATCATCAGTAATCTGTCAGGAAGACAGGTCCACAGTCCCTTCCAAAACAATTCCTCCATTTAATGCGATCTAGAGCTTTCTCCTTCAAATGACAGTATCCTCTTCTGTCCTCAAGGTCATCCAGCATCTTCTTACGTCTTCTTCCTCGTCTTCTTGTCACTTCTATCCGCCACTCCGGATTGTTTTGCCTCCAGAGGAAACATCTCACATACATGGTATGTCTGTTTTTGGAAAGAGACTATCCAGGAAAAGTGATAATGTGGTAGTTTTTCCATTTGCTTTCCACATCGCAGTACAGCAGCCGTTCAAACCACTCTGATCACGCCTGCTGCTATACGAACTTGAACCATCTCGAGCATCATTTGCTCTGTGCTTCAAGTCGCTACTGATGACGCTGCTTCCGACATCAGTTTTTGGTGTCTCGCTTCGTCTGATGCCTACCCTTTGACCTGTCCAGCAAGGGAGGCCCTTCCAGTAGCTACGCTACCGCTGGTATAGCTCTCAGGGTCCTTGGCATACTCAAACCCCCTCACCACGATAAGGTGGAGACACCAACGAGGGGGTAAACCAAGAATCTGCAGCCAAATACAACCCTTTATCGAAATAAGGAACGATACAATACCAAACTCATGATATTTAAGTACTACATGTAGTACGTGTATATTAAGAATAATAAGCATTCAACATACAAAGTTTTGAATGAATGGCAGTTGCTTAATTAGCAGTTTATAGTAAATTTATTTCACAATTTATATTGATATAACAAACTTAACAGACACCCTATACCCCATATATATTATACACTTAAACCCTGGTAGCAAACAAATCTGACAATGAAAATTGTCAGATTAAATTTAAAGATTTACAAATTAAATTACATATTTAGTAGAAAGTTGAAAATAAATGTACAGAATGCCTGGAGATGGTTTTTATGGTCAAAATATGTATCTGATATTGATGAACATGCCCATAGTAATATATCCAACACACCATGACGTTCCAGTATTAACTCTACTCCAAGGAGTTAGATTGTACAGACACTCTAATTTATCTGGGAACTGACAAACAGATGCATATAACTGTGTGTTTCTGAAAACTATGCTACACTCCATTCCATTTGATACCCGAGTTACAGAAACAGGCGTATCGCATGACCATGCTATGCCCAAAACTGTCACAGAAAAGACAGATTCACACCGAAGGATCTGATGATATGATTAGGTAACTGAGGAAATGTGGCTTTTGGAGACTGACTTCCAGTCATCTTGTCTTGTTGCAGACTGGCAGCAGTTTGTGGCAGATAAGTTGTCGTCATGGCGTCAGACCAACCTGGACTGGTTACATAACTTCACTGGTCCAATGCACGTCATATTCTATGATCACCTGCTGGAAGATGTTGCCGTTCATCTGCAGGATCTGCTCCGCTTCCTCAAGCTCAATGTGTCAGAACAGAATCTGGCCTGTGCACTGGAGCGCCAAGAAGGTATTTATCGGCGTAAACGGCGTGTTGTCAACTTTGACCCGTTCACAACGACCATGAAGCAAGCACTGCAGAGGGAGCAAGACGTGGTATACGAGGCTATCGCCAACTCTCTGCACAGGCCAGAGGTTACATCGACAAATATGCGGTGATGACAGTGACATTTGTAATGAAACGAATCACAATAGTTTTGGGTGAAGGAATAATGTGAGTGAAGATAATGGCTGTGGTCATCATCAGCTTCTATGCAAAAATGAAAGGAAATGACATTGATTGCTGGAGCAGGATTTCATGCAATTTTAAGGCGCATGCCAAGAATGAGGAACTGAGACAGTGACATAATTCGCCTAAAGAACTGAAAAGTGGAAGGCAAGTACCAACAGAATGATGTCAATGCCATTGATAAATGCATATACGTGAATGATCATCATGCACTTTGATGCAGAAAGATGTACTCATGACTTCTGACAATGGTTAGAATATATAATATCAAAAACAGACAACAATATAATTGACAAAAGACAATGGTTATTACATAGTTTATTGCTCACTTCCAGAACACAAATTCAACGTAGTTGAATAATGGCACACAATTATCACCAAAAAAAAAAAAAAGACACAAGTGTGCATGCTACAAAATCTTATGTGCTTCTGTCAGCTTGGTATATGATGGTAGCCATGAATGAACATTATAATCATCAGAGGATGATAAGCTCCAAGAAAGGCCAGTTCCTCTTTAAATCATCACCAACAGACCCCAAACGAAGCCCTTAATACCTATATTTGTGGTACTAATATTAGGCCTACAAAGAACTATTATACACCATATTTATTAAGAAGAAGTTAAAATAATGGCTCTCAAGTGGCTGAGACTACATTTTGTATTGACATTCTGCTTAAGCATCGAAATTAAATTAAATCAAAATTTCACTGAATATACATACCAGAGTTATCTGTCACATGATCATAGTGTAGACAATGCCAGAATTACTAGCAATTTGATAACATTCCTTTGTAGATAATGATTTTTGTCTATAGGACATCTAGCATGTAGCATCATACTTTTCTGGTTATGAATCTACATACTGGAGGGATTTCTTAGCTAATACTTTATTATTATTATTTATTTTAACTGAAAATGGGTTTTTACCCGGTGGCAGTGGTACTACAATAAAAAGCAGCACACAAAATAATACACTATGCTCAAAACAAAGCACACAAAGGTACACAAACAGTAAACGACACACTACACACAATGAACACAATGCAAATACAATTACAACTACAATTATATAAATTAATATCAATAAAAATATGCACACTATACACTAAACAGTAACAGTATTGAAAAACTTAATGTCACGAATTGATGCACTAATATTTCACCATGGCCATCCCTTCATTCCACATCACTATACTTGTGTACCCTTCACATCCTCACCACAATTTACTTCACTTCACTACACTGCATTTTTTATAATTTCCTCCACACCTTCATTACCACTTCATTACTTCATTATCACTTTCCTAACCATTTTCCTAAAATTACTTGGTTTACAGGGTAGAGTCCCTAAAGCATCTGCAGGTAGTTGGTTCCAGAACTGGATGGGCCTATTAGCAAAGGAATATTTTCCAGTATCTGTCTTTTGTTTTCTGCTCCTAATTTTCCTGTCATGATCAACTCTGAATAGGTCTAAAGTGTAACTGCATAAGAACAAGGTTAGAATATCAGTCTAAAATTTGGTTCTTAATGGGTGAATCTAATTCACTGAAACTGAAAGCACTGTAAAATATAAATGCAAATTTAGATTGTTGGTGTGTCTGTTGTTCATTTGATGGCTGCTATGAGAAAAGACGATTTGTATCCCACACACTGTCATTCCCTTGACAAAAGATGTTACTGACTTCACTTTATCATCATGAACGTTTTCATTGTTCTATGTTCCACTTATTATGTAATGTATAAAATGTTGCTCCATAGTTTCACATACAAACACATGTGGCCATCTCATCGATTAGTGCAATAATGTGCGTAAGTGGTGCCCATCTAAATACTTTTGTGCAATAATATTCGTATGATAATAAATACACTGTGTAGTTGGTTCATGTTCTAGACTTAAGACCAGTGATGGTTTCTACAAATTGAAAATGTGGAGATATCTCAATTTTTCTAAAAGAGCATGTGCGATCAAACAATTGAGTACAAATCAGTATCACTGTTTAATGGTCTGGCAAGTCTAATATTAATAAACTGTGACTTGAACAGCCCGCAATTTAAGCGGTTCCATTCTAAGTTACGTTTTCAGTGAGTGAACTTGGTATGTTATTTTATAGGTAATCCAGACCTGTTGGGCAAAAAGCAAAGAGTGTTATCATCTGATGATAATGGGTCACACCATGTGAACTGAATTTATCAGGTTTTCCTGTTAATTTTGTAAGTGCACAGATAAAATTAAACTAAGGGATGTAATTTCATTCTCTTCCTTTTATATTCAATTTAAAAAGCTGCAAGGCAAAAACACAATACAAAAACTTATAGAAGGAAAGTATATCACCATTTTATTAAAAAAAAATGCAGAGGTCTGTCTCATGCAGAGCGCAAGATGGAGTCAGTGAGATCAGCTCAAAGTTGACATGGTGAAGACAGTGCAACACTGAAACCAAAATATCTTAGTATAATGTTTTATAATGAAGCAATTCCTCTACAGTAAAGCTGATCAAAATTACATGTAGTTGATACAGCAGAAACTGCTACTTGATAATTATTCTGATGCTTGAGAATATGTTTTTGTCATGTCCTGAAAATTATACTCGGACATATTACCTGTCAGAAGCATGTATATCATAATTTGGTGACTGTAAGTTTTGGAACTTGTTACATACAACCAGGGCCCAGATTCTGATGACATGTCATCTTTTTTTCCTTGTATCCTATGCGATGCTCTTAAATATATAAATCATAAATCTCAGATATGAGCTGCTGGTTACAGAAATGTAAATCTTATAGGTAATTTTTTGTCATTTTTTGACATTTTTAGGTTTAAGGTCATTTTTTTCATTTTGGGGGTAATTTTTTGGACTTTTAATATTCTAATTTTTAATTCATTGAATTATGTGAAGCATAAAAAAATTGAAAGATATTGTTCTGATTATCAACATTGTCAATCGGCGTCCTCTTTTTATTTAAGAAATAGCGTTTCGGAGACTGTATTCTGTCTCATCAAAGCAAAAACTATTCAGATAGGTCGCAATCTATGAGGATAAATAACACATTAAGCAGAGTCCTTGAGAAGCTAAGTCACTAAGCTACTCAAGAGATTACCCACATTTTATGGAACCCAAATGTTCATTGCTGTTTCCACAGGAGTCTGTCACTGGAACCTGTCCTCAGCCAAATCAATCCAGTCCATGCCTTCCCACTATATTTCTTTAAGATTCACTGTAATATTATTTTTCTATCCATGCCTCGGTCATCCAAGTGGTTTACTTCACCTTGGGTCTTCTGGTAAAAAAAATTATATGTACGTGTAGTTCTCATCTCCCCCATCTTTGCCACATGCTCTGACCTTCTCAAGTGTAGAAAATTTCAAAATGGTCTTGATTAACTGACACAGGGGACGAACAGCTTCATATGGGTCCCAGACAAAGGTAGTTGTCTGATATCCCTCGTATATACTGTGTTCTATCGCTGCCAACATGCAAGGGAAAGTCATGTAAAAATATCTGCACTGAATTCAGATGGTCTTGAGTAAAAGAATTCTGATATCATAAATTTAATCTAGGAGATCACCTAGATGGAATTACATTGTGACTACAACTTAATATCATTGTTCTCAGAAACATACCAGAACTGTTGTTTCCAGCACTATTTGAGGTGTCCTTATTTCCTCTGCCAATACTCTTGCGCTCGATGCCTGATGGTCTCAAGTTTGGAGGCAGACATTTCACTATCTTCATCCTCACTGCTATTGACCTGTGCCACTCCTTGTCTGCAAACGCTGCACGCTGTTCTGTCTGCCCCCCTCGCTGACGGGATAAAAATTAGACTTGAATCAAGGCTCCGTGGCAACTTTGGATACCCTCGCGAAACAGGTCGTCCATTCCGTGTATGGTTCAAAGAAGCTGACTTGGGACATACACCATGACCAGCCATTCCAGCACTTACAGCCAGTCGATATTTGAAACCTTTACTCGTGGCTGTTTTGTCGATATCCATTCAGTTTCTCCCATCCGGGAATAGATTACAAAAAAAGTTTGTTCCCTTTTTTTAGGCTGCTTCTCTTCGGATGTTATCTTCGTAGCACACTTATCTTCTCTGCTAATTATTCTTGGCCTGCGATATTCATGCGGCAAAATGATTAATGTAATTTCTAAGAGCTGATCATCGTCCGTGACAATTTAAGAGAGAATTCTGATGTTTCCACGGGAAGATAAGTCTTAATCAAAGTCTCTAAATTACAAATGTACACGTAATACGACAAATTATTCTCACTCTTCCTCTTCTGAGGTGGTTGTCGAGTTCACAGCATCACTCACCATTCATGGTATAAGCAAGTTTCATTTGGTTTCTTTTAGAGTTGGAATGATCATATAACACAATTAGGCTGTTGAATGGGTAGAACATGTCTCCCCTCAAGGCTTTGATGTGCCTCGTTCTAACTAAGCAGTGTTGTGCCCTGATAGGGGCACTGACTGCACTCACCCCCTATCGGACGTCCGTGGGTATCACTTAACCTATGCTGTGGAAAACATGCTTCACTAGGATGGTCACCAAAACTCGAGTTCTCCAAACAACAAAAAAAATGTAATATATAATGAAATTAAAACACTTATACACCTCTAAATTCTAAAAACACATTAACCCACCAAAATAATGTAAACCAGAAGTTCTAATAAGCCATCAGTGACCCGACCACGGGCAAGTACTCACTCGCGCTAAACGTGATGCATGTGAAAAACACTGGCGCCATCCCAAGGTTTTCCACAGGCACACTTTGCTTTACTCGTCCGTTTCTGGCAACTGCTAGAAACAGAGTGTCTGAAACGGCCCGCTTTCCCAATTCCAAGATTCAACTTTTCCCCAAGTTGCGAAAGCTGCGCGTGGGAAATCCCTGAGGTCGGCATCCTGCCGGACATGCCTTGTCGCGCGAAGTGAAACCTGACCGGGTCTTTCCACTGATGCGTAAACAGTCTTCTCTAAAGACAATTCGATCGACTGCCAAGGAACGCGAAGAGTCAGCCGCGGTTCTGTCTCCTTGCCTTCCGGTCAGCCGTCTAACATTTTAACCTAAGCACACAATCTTACAAAAATTATACTTAATAACTAGTGAAATGGGCTCAACAGCAGTAAGAATGATTACTGCTCCACACAGCACCAAAGCACAAACATTAATTTAACGTTGTTTAACGATCATCACTACGCACAAAGTCTTACGAACTATAACCGCTGTTGGTCCTTAATAGGCTGATAATTACAGTCTCTATTACATTTTTGTCACGATAAGACCTACTCGATATTGCGCCCGGTCACTTTGGACGCTTTGGACAGTTCCGACGTTAAACACAGTGCCTCTCTTTGCACTACATATCATTTTAATCATGTCGCACATCCAATG